TATATAAAAAAATTTTCCTTCATAATAAACCAATTTATTGGCTAATATTTGGAGTATTTTTGGATTACCACCACTAATAACTAAAATTTCAGGTTCCCTTTGTGACAGTAACAACTTTGTCAATAAACAATACACAGTAATGTTTTAATTTACTGAAACTAATGTGTATAATGATTGTTCATTTTAAGTCTAGCAATTTTAATGTCTCATTAGCTGTCCATGAATCAAGTTATATCATATATATGTGTATATACAGTATGCAATGAAGATAAAAAAGCTGTTTTCAAAATCCTAAAACTGTCTGAATGATTTCCAAGATTAAAAAAAAAACCAGATGTCCAACATGGACGCTTTTGGACCACACTGTATATATCAGCAGCCTGAAGTAAAAGATGACTGAAATTGTGATTGAAATTGACAAAATTGAGAAATGAGATCGAGACACCGTGAAGCTGATGTGTGACTGAAGACGAACCTTCTTGTAGGTGGTTTCGCCGGATGCATCGACCCGCCTGTGACCGATCTTCTTCTCAGGGCCAGAGCTGGAGTGACACGAGGAAGATGGCATCTGAGAGGAAGAAAAATCACAAACGAGATCTCATTTACATATTTCTCATAGACAGCAAAGAGTTTAAATGGAGATTTGATCATCCAAGTGATCTGAGCTGCTACAGTATCTACATGCATTCTGTAGCTCTATGCTATTAATGTATGATTAATTTTTTGTCTATTTTTAGGAGAAACATTTAAGACAAAGTTGACACTTCAGTTCATAGTTCTCCCCATTATGAACATTTGCTGAAAATGTACTCGCTCTCAGGCCATCCAAGATGTAGATGAGTTTGTTTCTTCATCAGGTTTGTAGAAATGTAGCATTGCATCAGTGTCTCAGCAACGGATGCTCTGCAGTGAATGGGTGCCGTCAGAATGAGAGTCCAAACAGCTGATAAAAACATCACAGTAATCCACAAGTAATCCACACCACTCCAGTCCATCAGTTAACAACTGGAGAAGACAAAAGCTGCGTAATAAATCTATCATTAAGGTGTTTTTAACTTTGAACCATCCCTTCTGGCTAAAATATGAGTCCATAATCCATAATAACGCTTCCTCCAGTGAAAAAGTCCATCTCCTGTTGTCTCTCACATCAAAATCCAGCCGCATATTAGTTTAGAGCTGTTTTGGACTGTTGTAAATGCTGCTTGATCTGTGCAGATTTCTCTCCTGATTCAGACCAGACCACTTTTTCACTGGAGGAAGCATTATTATACAGTTTAAACCTCTTAAAGGTCCACTGAAGTGCCTTGAAACATGCAGCGTTATTCTATGTGTAGACATAATTTCAACTGAAACAGGAAGATGGGGCAGGACATATCGAGCAGCCCCGCCCCCTTTTTTAAATAGCCAATAGCGTTTTGTTTGATGATGTCATCAAAATCGTTGATCCATATTGGCAGAAGTGAGAGACTGTAAGTTTTTAATGCTTTTATCTTGTAAAAGCGAATTTTGTCATTTTTTTGGAGCACACAAGCTTAGATAACCTTAAGGATAACATATTCATACAAAAAGCCAAAAAAACTTTAATTTTGATTTCATGGGGACTTTAATGCTGGATTTGTTTCAGCTTTTGTCTTCTCCAGATGTTAACTGATGGACTGGAGTGGTGTGGATTACTTGTGGATTATTGTGATGTTTTTATCAGCTGTTTGGACTCTCATTCTGACGGCACCCATTCACTGCAGAGCATCCATTGCTGAGACACTGATGCAATGCTACATTTCTCCAAACCTGATGAAGAAACACACTCATCCTAATCTTGGATGGCCGATGTAAATTTTCAGCAAATTTTCATTTTTGCGTGAACTATTCCTTTAAATCTCAATTTCTGAAACCTCAGATCAATAATATTTTCCAAACACTTTACACACACACATTTAACTCTTCTCAAGACTGCTTTAAGTAACACTGGAGTTGTATGACCGAAATTAATGATATACAGATAATAAATGATGCTTCACCTCGGTTATGTAGGTCTTCTTAAGAGCAGCGTCTGAAATGACAGAGGAAGAAAGAGAAATTATGACAAAAGCATATTATTTAAAAAAATGTCTTAATAAATGTCGTTAATAAAACAATAAAAGAAAAACCTAATAACTGTGAGCAAGTGCAAAAATGAGCATGCAATGAATGCAACATACTACAGTAGTATGCAACGGTGCTGTCACATGACCTCATTAAGTTGCACATCTGATTCATTGAAATAAATGTGGTCATTTCACATTTTTATGCAGTTTTCTATAAAAATGTCTTATGGCAGTCTGATTAAATAAAGAATCAAGAAAGAGATGTGGAAAATCATGCTTTGTATTACTTCCAGTTCAGTTGTCACACAGGAAGCTGAAGGTCAAGTCGAGTGCATTGCATCGTGGGATACATTAACACACTGCAAAACTAGTATGAAGAGTGTGTTAATCTGAACACACACTGGTTAATGTGTGAATAACAATTCAAGGACAAACGGCGGGAGTCTGCAGCTCTGTGCTGCCTTGCAGTCATTTCACACTGTGTTTTTCTTGCACATGTTTCTGTGTCACTGAATTCAAGGGGAGGGGGCGGAGCTACAGACAAGTAAACCTGTCAATCATTCCTCTGCACGTGCCGGCGCGGAATTAAGGCAAGATAACAGAACGCAAATGAGACCTGATCTGCTTTACACCCGAGAGGAGCGAGACTATTTAATAACGGGGAATTAGAGCAGCAATGCAGCACTGTAAAAAGTCTTAATTTCATCCTGGGACGCAGATGAGTCTCATCAACACATGTCCAGGTCATAGTTTTAGCACACAATCAAAAGAAATTAAATAAAAATATATATTTTGTATGAAGAAAATGAAGCTTATTTTTTAAATTAAGCAATATATGTTTGTGTATAAATTAAAAATTATATTTTGCATGAAAATAATGT